TGCCGCCCCCCCCAGGCTGCCCCTTGGTGCACAGCGCTCTCCCCTAGCAAACATGGTTCGTTTGAGGCCCTCACTTCTCCCTGCCTTCTCACACTATGTATAAGTATTCCTGTGTTCTCAGTTGCCTTGCAGTTGACATTGCTGCAATTTGTATTTTGACAGTATGTACTGCTGCCAGAAAACCTACTCCAGCTGGGCATCATTTTTACTTTGGTACATTTTCCTTCTCATTGAGAGCCAAATATGTATTCTACAAAGAACAGCTCAAGAAAAGAGCTCTTTACTTTCTCTCATTTAAATGGACTAGAATACTGCCAGGTACAGTAGGCTACGTTGCCACCTCCTCATTCAATTAGTAAGCAGAGCAACTTCTTTATGAAATAACTCCCCAAAACAAATTTCTTTTTATTCCAAGCTACAACTAGTGACTTGTCTGTTTGTGTCTTACAGAGCCTCTGTGTTTTAGAGCCCAGGAACCGGTGAGCAAGTGCTATATCATAAAGCTGATTCAATTAGAACAGTGTGCTTCAACTGTATTATAATGTGTATCTGTATTGTATTTTATCAAGTCTAATAATAATGCCAGTGCACTCACATTGGAAACAATATCCCTAGCAACTGATATTGCTATGTTGAAAGCAGTAGATCTACTCCCAAATTGGCCAGGGGGAGAAAAACTCATTTTTCACTACTGAAATCAGAAATCATCTGCTGATTTTTTATTTCACTCTTTTGTTTCCAGCACAGCAACAACTCAGACAAAGAATGTAACAAGAACTCAAAGAACTATGCGCATTATGGAAAAACCTGGTGTAGAGAAAACTCAGTGGGAGAGGACAGACAAATGATATAAGCAAGTCAAAAGGATGAATTTATGTGTATGTGTAAGAGACATAAAGAGTTATTGTTTTCTCTCACATGCCACATTAGGAAAAAAAAAATGGGATAGCAAGAAAGTTAACTTCATCTTGGTACCAAATCCATTTATACCAACAGAAGAGAAAGATACAACAGTGTTGTGGATGAATGTTGGTATTATGCTGTGCCATGTTCAGGAGGTTGTAATAAGTCTCCAGCTAATCAATGTGAGTCTACATTTTCTGTATTATCTGTTCACGGGAATGGCAGTAAGATGTTTTTCCTTGAAACTGCAGCCTTGATCAGAGTATTTTTAACAGACCATCAGTAGCAGAGCACAGAGTCTTCTTCAGATCAAAGTTCAAGCTAAAATGAAAATACAGAGCCTAACTATAAATCAAATGATGTAGTCATCAGCCAGACCAGAGCTTCCAAGGCTTATGAAAACAGGCAGCAGAATAGCAAGGACACGGTCACCCAGGCTAGAAAAAGGGGCAGCTGAAACAAGCGAAAGGAACTTACTACAGGGGAGGCAGGTACCAGGAAGAGCATTGTTCCCCCCTCTATTCTAGGAATATCATGGACTGCATTGTCCTTTAGGCTTATGTTAAACCTTTTCACTGATATTTGTTTTTCTCTCTACTTTGTCAGACTGGGCAATCTGTCAAGACTTTCATGTATCATTTAAGCAATTGTACAGCAAGGTCCTGGTCAGCTACTTTCAGCTGATTCGTGTCCTGAATCAAACCAGGAACTCTTGGCATCTGAGTCAGTGAAATGTTCTAATCAGGTTCTATTTCTCCATCAGATTCATCCAAGGATGTCTGTGTTGTGGTGACATATGCATTTGAACTGATGAACTTGAAAGTGGAAAAGACTACTAAAAAGATCAGAAATAGGGGAGAAATGGAACAAAGGATACAAGAAAGAAAGAAAAGTATGATTAGGGCCCAGTTGAGTACAATATACCTTGAAGAAGATAACTGTTTGTGTACTATTCATTCTAGTTTTAACAGACGTCTGCATGTTAAGGCTAGTCAAGCAGCAATATTATACCATAGGCCTATATAACAAATTGAATGGAATGAATGAATAAATATATAAATAAATTCTGCCATACAAACAGCTTCTCTACTTGTCTGAAGTGAAAGCTCAGGTTTTATCCATTCTCACCCACTTTCTCTTTTGAAATTATTATAATTGGATTCCTGAAATTTTGTTCTGCTGCCCACAGAATGCTGCAAGCTTTCCCTACCTCATCTTTCAGCTGATTCTTAAGCAATTTGAGTTACCCAAGATGTTCCGGAACTAAATGTTTCCTGAGCAAAATTTGCTTTTTCAGCTATTTAAGAATTCAAATCACTATGGAGTGAAGCAAAACTGCAAAACTTTCAGCTATAGATATGTGTTGTTTTGTAGACACACACACACACGCACTCACTCACCAGTGTCAGCCTTTTGAGTTAGGCCAGGTCACCACAAGAATTACTGGAACGCTATTTTTGTTGGCATAATAGAATCTTGAAAGCCTGTCAGCTTCCCTTTGCCCTCCCTTACACCAAAGAGAACCAAGGTAGGATTATCGTTTCTTTTTTACCCCGTCTTCTTTTCCAGGGCTAAGTTGGGGCTTATTTAGCCATTCTTGCATTCCTTCTTCACATTTATCTCCAAACTCCTCTATTATATCTCTCTCTCTGAACTATAGTGTTAGTACCCAGGATCAACCAAATTATTTGGGTCCCTGAGGCAAAAAATCCCAGAAACTCCCTCTGTCATAATTAACAATGTAGGGAAAGCATGCAGAACATAGCTTCTGGAATTCTTTCCAATCTCCATGAGAAGCATGTATGTGACAAAATAAGATGTGTCTCTGTGTATTTGTGTGCACTGGGAAGCACAGGGCAGGCTACCTATGCACTGGGTCATGTGTCCAGAAGTAAGGAAGGCTTAGAATGGAAAGTCAGCAGGCTTCCAGGGTGCTGCCCAACTGCCTTTCTCATAGGAATACATATGGGGAATTTCTGGAATGTTTTTCTCTTGGATCCCAAGCCAGCTGCGGCTTCATTTTCAATTCTGATTTTTCTTTTGAGGTTTCTCCTGCCACATCAAATTTGATTCCATTCTGTACAGGTTTTGGAGAATAACCCTGCTGATGGACAGACTGATGGAGAGAGTCCCAAGCTAGTTTCTTTAGGTAGTTTCTTTCCCATATTCCACTAGAATAGGAAAAAAAGAAAAGGCAACGACAACAACACATTAAAGACGCCCTGTTTCTTCACAGTATTAAAAATCCGCTACCCAAGGTCTCTTCCGCATTCTATCTAATGGTAGATGATATCCTGATATCAATACACGGACATAATGAAGAGCTACTTTTTAAAATATGGCTAGAGATACAATTACCAGACTCAATGAAGCAGTTATTTTTATGTTCTTTCTCTTTTTTCATTACTACTATTGTGCCTTGCTGCTGCAGGGAGAACATAGGATTTCAATTAATTAAACTGATCAAAAGTCAATCAGGCAGTGACCATCTTAGCCAGAACACAGAATTAGTTTGGTCAATATTTCTTGACTAGGTAAAATTTGACTTGTTAAATACATTTAATCCTTTTTGGAGTTTTAATTATTTTAGCTTTTTCCTGAGACTAAATTGAGGACTGTTCAGACTAAACTCTCACTCTTTTCCGTAGTCCTTGGATTTGTACCATGTTGGATACAGATTGAAATAACATTTAAATAAAGCAACTGAAATACATCATTTTATCACTTCCCTCACACACAAACTCACGCAAACATTTTATTCTATTTTCTTGTAAATTGATCCAGAGTTTTCTTGTCTTAATCTGGTGATTTAGTATAACTTCTCAGCCTTCAATTTGATTTAATCATTGAAAGTGGGAAACTCTTGACTTATGTTGTTAACAGTAATATAATTGTGCCTTGAGCCCACTTAAATAAAACATTCTATTAAGCAAGTTGCTTTATTATGTTTCAAGTTACATACTTCAGGTAAATTTAATGGGCTTATTATGGGTGCAAAGGCTACCTGCTGAATAATACTGTATTTACTTAGAGGGGAAACCATTTATTCCTAAATGGAATGAGATGGTTGTCCTAGATACCATTGTATGAAGGCAGTTGTGTTGTTATTTTACTGTTGTCTAATATTCTTGGGGAGGGGGAGTTTTTTTTAATTCCAGGGTCATCCTCATTTAAATTAAATATGATGTGTTGAAGTAAAAATGAGACCACTAGGTTAAAATTAATTAACTTTTAATGGTTAAAAAGCTATTTTAAACAGTTTCCAAAGAATGCAAGATATATTTTAAAAGTGAGAATGAATGTGCCTTTTAGATATATAGTGCTTATTTCTGTATTGTAATACAGTTATTTTAAAACCAGAGGATTTAAGATTGCTTCAACCAAACCTATATGTACACTGTTCTTTTGTTGAGAAAAAAAAAATCAAAATTCATTATGTTCTTCTTTGGAAATCCAGTTCATATTCCATCATTCCTCAATCAGTTCCCATGCTGACTCAAGTTCTTGGGGTCACAGCCCTAACACACTTGAAGGACTCCAGTGTGGAAAAGAATATTGTATAATAACAAGTAAGAGAAACATCAAAATGCAGATTTAGTGACTTCACAATGGGTAATTATTTACATCTGAAAAACAAAATTTTAAAAAATATATCTTTTTCTCTCCAGTAGTGGCTCTGAAATGGTTAAATCAGGACTTTTTCCATAAAAAAGCTTCATCAGAAAGAACTTCAGCAAGTTTTTTGTTGAAAGGCTGATAGAACTCACGCAGAATTTCTTTTGTGACAGGCAACATAGGACCTAGATTCCGGTCTTCTGGTCTTCTAGTGTTTGATGCAGGACTTTTAGTAATTAGAGCTTCTTGTTTTTCACTTAACGCACCTATGATAAAATATATTTATAATCATATATAGTTTTGCTTATTCATTTTCTTAAGCATTTCCAAGTTATACAACATTCAATAAACAGGTAAACCTTTGAATGCTACAGGTTGTGGCTTAAACAGAAAGCATAAATGACTTTTGCTTTTTTGTATTGTTTGATGTAACACGCACACCTTTTCTCCTTAATCTGGGTAAAAATATAGTTGATGTTAAATATAGGTCAACATAAGTGATACGGCAAAGGCTGCACTCCAAAAAGAGATGAGGCCAGGATAAAGAAATGGGCAGAGATAAACTAAACTAAAAGATAAAACTAAATGTGATGTCATTGAAATGTAATTAAAATAACTTAAACACAATTTTAACATGTTTCTTCCAATCTGTAATATTAAACATTACAGTTCAGTGGCTCAGGAGGCTACTCAAGGCAAATGCATGCATCTCTGACCTCAAAGTGAACTTTTGTGAGAAAAGCCCACATTGTTCCATCTAAACAATCCACGGAAGACCATTTCTATTTAGACATCACTACTATTTTACTGGTAGCTCTCTTAAATCTACCTACAAATTCTTCTCTCAAAGAAGATGCAGTATGTCTGAAGGGTATGTGAAGTAGGTTATAATGAAATAAAAATTAGTGTATCTATTAAGTTAAAGGAAATTTGAAAGATTAAGTTAAACTGATAGCACTCCTCAGTTCAAAATAACAGTTAGAATGCATGAAACTGAATAGACTGGTGGATAGCAAATGAACTGATTAAAATATTATATTTAAAGCTCAGAGCTGTAGAAATATGCCAGTTACCAGTTCCTTCCAAGATGAATGTCTTTGGTGCTAACTCTTTCTACAGCTGAGGAAAAGGAATATGGTTGACAAGCCTTAGAAAATACAAGACAGTCACAATAAGCCAATGATGGATATGCTTAACTAAAATTCCTACCTAAATCAAGAAACTGGAACACTGTGTGCATGGTTAATTTAACATTGGATGCATGATCCTCCAATCGGAGAACTAATATTTGATCTTTATTAAAAATCGTCAGCCAGTCAAGGAGGAAAACAACATACAGACCAACCTGAAGTCTTACCTAAGAGAGAGAGAGAGAGAGAGAGAAAAGAGCTATAGTAAATTCCTCCAGATACACTTATATTCACATGGTAGGGCAACCCAGGTAGAGAGGGTTCTGGGAGGCAAATGCAAGGGGAGATGAAATGGTTGATTGGGAAGTGATGGACAGGAATATAGCAGTGGGTAAACTGGCAGGTAGGTGTGGAAAAGGGTCATGTTAGGGGATGGGGACAAGCAATGGGGAAACACATGCATTTATGATCATATATAATTTGATAAAAAAGTGTATTTGTTTAATTTATAGAGCTATACAAAAATGAAATTAAAACTATTTGCAGTGCATGCAAACTGACATAGAACAGATTAATCTATCTCTATTTTAGATGAGCTTCCAAAATCCTTCCTTCACTCACTCTATTGGCATCATTTTTTTATGTCCAACTTTTTGGGAGGACATAAAAAAGGGAAAGAAGTCAATAGCACTCAAATTAAATCAACATTTCATTCTTACAAACTGTATATCCTTAGAAACTACTCTCAACTTTGACAACCGGATGTTGGAGAAAAGAACTCTAACCTAGCAACCCTGTGTGCATTTTTTTTTTAAAGAAAGAACAATCATATGCATTCTCAGTTATTGGATTTTATAAAGTACTTGGTTCTTACACATTCTGACACTGTGGTAATACTTGGCTTCGGAGTAGTTAATCAAATTTGAAATGAAATGTACATACTGGCATGGCATTATTAAGGGTGTTGTTGTATACACAGGCTCTCAAAGAGTAATCCGTCAAGCAATTCTCAAAGAGCTGCAATGACTCAGCCACTTTTTCATGGAAGTCTTCTACAGATTTATTAGCACTTGCAAAGTAGAGATAATCAGAATATAATCTATGAATGAAAAAATATATAAAGAATTGAATTGTAATTATAAGGCATGCCATCTAGTTAATAGAAATAATAAATCAACAGCTACTGTCTAGGGAAGAAACAAAGGATATTATTTATATCATAAATCTTGTTTTTCTCAGTAGAACTTTGTTGGCTCAGATGCCCTAAGGAAAGAGCTTCTTTCAGATTTATTGACAACTTGAGAGTATCAAGTAATCTTCATTCCAGTCAAAACTACCACAAATTGTCAAGCTGCTCCAAGTTGCCCAAGAACCTAACAATAGTGAAATTTATTTTCCAAACATCAAATCAAATTTTTATTACAGTCATAGACATTCCAAACATGTTCCCATCATATCATTATTCCTATCACAGCTTTTTTGTGACAAATGAATAAAAAATCATAGAAAACTTTGCAAGATCTAATTATTATATTGCTACTTAGTCTCTTTGTTACCTTATCATTCTTATCTAACAATCTATATAACACTGGAAGTACCCAGTTCTTGGTTCTATATTGTCTCCTATACAATGTATAGAGAATTTTCTTGGAGCTCCACCTTCTGTATGACCAAATCAATTAACCTAGTGATGACCCATTCATATTACCTTCATTTATCACTTTCTTCAGTTCTCCCTAGCCAGATAATTGTGCAAAGAATTTAAGAAGCTATGTTTCCTCCGGTAGCATGGAACTGAGTAGGCATGTTCACATGATATGCTTCACTAAATCACAGAGGGGTTATTGTGCTATACAAACAGGCAAACCAGAAACCTAATCCAGAGGAGGAGACCTTTAGCCTGAAACTACTCTAGGCTAAAGTAACTCCAGCTGTAGCATCTTTTCCATTGGCAAAAGACAGATGAAAATCTAGAGAAACCATTAAACAGCACTCCATCTTTGACTATTGTAATTTTCACACATATCCCATGGGGTAAAAAGAGGGCAGAAGGAGGTGGATAATCCAATTCTGCCTGAAACTGCACCAATTCCAATCATATCATCTGATTTTCAAATTATTTTTTTCATTCACTCAGTTACCATAGATCAGATGCTGCCTTAAGGACCTACCTACCAATTTACTGTAGGTAATGATGAGTCATGTGAACAGCCCATATTGGCTGGCATAACATTTCTTCTCCTTATGCAAAATGTTGGATGTAAACTATTCCATTAAGAGATTTATCTGTAGACTACTTATTTACCTGGAAGTTACTAACATAGCATTTGCATAAAAAATAGTTATTTTTAAGGCAATGACTTTAAACTTTAAAAAAGCAATCATTTGATGTTGGAATTTAACAGTGACAGCTTTCATTAAACCGAATTTAATATTTTGAACTATTTGTTAAAGTATATTTCTGGTAGCCGTTTATTTTTCAGATGTTGTAGTAGAGAGGTTAAGCCACCCAGGAGTTGAACAAGTGGTTTATTTATTCCTATGCTGTGTATAGCAGATTAGCATATCTGTAAGTCTACACATTCTAATTCACAACTGGAAGAACTGCTTATAGTCATAATGATGGCAAACAAAGAATTATATTAAATGTGCCAAACATTTAAAAGAGATCTAGAAAAAGTAAGTATGCAATGCCTAACGCAAGTAATATTAGTGGAAACCAACAGCTAATACCATCTTCTTCATTTAGGTGCAGGGGCATTTGTAGGGAAGATTTTTAAAAAGTCCAGATGGCTGCCACAAGTGCAGAATTGAAGCCAGACCACTTCTTTTTACATGTATTGCATATGTGATGCACATAAATGAGCAGAGCATCAATTACATCATTGCAGTCACCATATATTAACATATATACAGGGCATGAATCTGGTGTAATACTAGGTAGAAAACTTCATATATATGGTAAAGGTCAACATGCTAGTGATAAGGCATGATCTCTGAAAAGAAATTAATATATCCAAGACAAACAGTGCAGGAGCCTGGTAACATAATTCCCCATCACCACACACTCACACCCACAAAGCGTAGTTTCAACAGTTGAAACATAATATTCCTCTTATCAGATCAGGAGACCTGACATTTATTTGAAAATGGCACCCTTTCTGACTATTCAAGGTTAAAACTTCCTTAAACACTTCTCAGTGCAATGAACTATTAATTACAAGAATATGAAAAAGGAGAAAAATTTTGAAATCTTAGAAATATTGGATGCTCACCTTTCAACAGGATCCCTAAGCATAACAATGAACTTTGCATTTGGCTGGAAGGCATGAATAAAATCTGGTATTAAGAATGGAGGTTCTCCCTCTGTACTGTTGTCATAAAAGAAAATCCAAGCATTGTTGTCCCACATTGTTGAAGCACTTGCCTCTCCTAGAAATGAGGAAATATGTAGATGGTTATCCTTAATTTTAGAGAAATAGAGATTGCTATAAATCAGATTTCCCCAATCTGCCAGTATCCACATGTGTTGTACCTCAACTTCTATCACAGAAACTGGAGATGGGAACTAAAACTCAACATGTAGAAGGTAACAGATTCAAGAAACTACATAAAAGCTTTTGTATCTATGGTATTTATTGATGTGGATGAACCATGTATTCCATTTCCCTTTATATACAAAACATCCTGAAATACTGAGTTTACTTTGTATTGATATTGTTAAATTTATATTTCACTACATTTAAATCCCAATGACTGGGTATACTTCAAAGATATTCACATTTTAAAGAACATTTATTCAAACAAATAATGAAACCCAATGCATGAAGTGATGTATGGATGCAAAAAAAAAAGGATGATTTGCAAAGACAGAAAGGTATCAAGAAGTATACTGGTAAAGTAGATTTAGCTGTTTTCATTCCCCACTCTTAAGATTTTAATTTCCTTGGATTACTGTTTCTTATTTTCTGCACTCTGAATAACACTGCTTATCCTGAAAAAGTATAGCATGATTATTGGTATGTACTTGTTATATCATTCCTGTACATTCCAATGAACTCTGTATGGGATGTTCTCTACTTGCTATGTTCTCAGATTCTTAGGACACACAGTGTCAATAAATATTATTCTTGGACGTGTCAATTTCCCAGACATATTAATGAGAGGTTACACTCAGACCCTATAGCTAATTGTGGCAACTGAGGTTGTATGACTGAATGAAATAAAATTTATCGTTCTACCTATCCAATCTTTTTTTTACAGAATTTGCACTACTGGAATATAGATTATTGAAGGTCCACTATGGGGCATATATGGTGGCACATATGCAGTCATTTATTGTGTCCATTTAATTAGCATAATTGCCAAATGTGTAAATTTCCATTGTTTACTTTGTCATAATTTATGTTTGGCAGTCAGCTCTTCAAAACTTATTAAATATTGATACCACGGACATGCTAGTTCCCATAATATTTTAATTCCCTAGCAATGGCAGTCAAAAGTACATTTCCTACCAGTTGTAGAATCTTACCCACCGTGGGTTTGAATTAATGTTTGTGAAAAGGAATCCATATTCAACATAAGATAAATTAATCACTGTAACACTTATATATCAAGTCACAACTGCACAGCAAAAAAAAATCCAATATTTCATAGAAGCTAAAAGTATGTAATATATGATTAAACTACTTATTTTTATTATAGAATAGTTGTAGAATGTCCCTATAAAATCCATTATAAAACATTTCTGGTGAATTCATTGTTATAATGATCATAAATTACTAAATCCTGTCTGGATTGCCTGGAGCTTTGTGTCTTGTGTAACATTGAGGAAATAGCCATTGTTTCATCAAGCAATATAATTATAACTCAGTAATCATTTGATTCAGAAAAACCTTCAGAGAGGTTTTTGAATGGAAAAGTACACTGCCTGTTAAAGTTAGAGGAATGTTTACAGCTTTAATTATATAATGTTTAATAACATTGTTCCCTAAGTGACCCTCTGATTTTCACATATCCTATAGATATATTATGAAATAAACTATATAACAGGTTAATGAAAAATTTAATATAGTAAGCATGCTGATGAAGAGCTGAAGTAAACATTTTTTTCGAAAAGCTCATTTCCATGAAACTGCAACAGAGGCCAATTATTTCATAATAATGTTCATAACTAAACTGAGTCAATATTTTTATGTAGAAGGTATCTCTAATGTTAATACAGATTATAGTTATGCCTACTTTTGTCCTTGAGACAAAAACCCTAAAAAGAGCATCTAACATTTGTTTATAAGAGCAACAGAATAGCTGTTCCACATCAATGCAGCTAGGCTTAACCGCTTTTGAGTTAGAAAGTCAAGACATATTAGACCACGTCAGATGCTCTCTTACATTAGGGTATCTTAAGGCATCTTTCTGTCTCAAGGTGCCAATTAAGCAATTGTTGTCCTGAGCAAATGCCAAACCTGTATTTCTCTTCAAACATGTGTAACTATATTTGTATCTATGTCTATCTATAAATCAAACCAAAATTATAGAGAAATATAGGACCATAGATCTAGACTATGTCTCCAATACCACAGGATAAAGACATTCAATAAAGGAAGGTTTCCTCCATTAATGCATTTCCATATTAGAAAGAACTGTATTTGCTAATTGTATGTAGAGCCTGGTCAAACATTGTTTCTGTCATGCTGACTCTACAGCTGCAACTAATTTGGGCCAGTCTCAAAACAGCAATGCTGAAACAGAGGTGAATCCCTTTATACAGCTTTAGGTGACTCGATTAAGATAATCAGGAGACATTTTGCCTAGCATTGTGTGTCAGAATGTTAGAATACAGCACAGACTGAGAAAAAGGATATCTAGAGTCTACTGGAAAGTAAAGACACATAGTTATAAAGCCTTTTTCCAAATGCTTCTAATCATGCATGTTTTTATTGTCATGTTTATTGACAGCTATTTTATGAACTTATCTGAATATTATTAAATAGATTATATATTCCACTCAGTGTCATAACTGCAAGAATGACTAAGACTGCAATCCTAATGCAATTAGTGAGTATAGTCCACTGAAAGTACATATATTTACTTCTCAAAAACGTACACTGGATGTTTAAAAATAATTATTTTAAATACATAATGCAAATATTTAAATAGTATCTCAATAAAGAATTTAGAAATTTGTAAGGAATAAATATTTCAACTTTTCACTGGTGGTTAAAGCTATTTCTAGGTTGTTATAAAAAGCCTCCATTCCTCTTTGCTAACAGAAATTGTTCAGATAAAATGCTATCATCATTTTGTTATCTAATAACTAGTTCAGATATACAGCACTGTGCAAAAGTTTTAGGCAGGTGTGAAAAAATGCTGTAAAG